GATGCTTACTTACAGCACTTGATGTGGGCCTGGCGCTGTGCATGCTTCGCTCAGAACCCCTACAGGGAGGCTGGGGGTGGGTCACTGGCTCAAGGTCACACAGCAGTGGCTGAGTCCAGCCTCAGTCTCCTCATCAGTGAAATGGGGGTGATCAGTCGCGTCCTGACTTGCAGGGGCTTTGAGAGCTGTACAGGCCAGGGGTTACCTGAGGCTCCGGGGGAGTGGGGCTGACCCCGGTGAGGCCCACAGGCCCTGCCATCACTGGGGGAAACGCTGAGTTTTGAGCCCCTGGGAATCCTGCTGAACTCCCCCCAACTCCCAGCTCCGCAGCCTCCGGCCTCAGGGTTTCTCCCCATCCCTCCCTCTCTAATCCTGACCTCATCAAGTCCTGGGAAGGGTTGATCCACAGGAGTAAATCCCTCATTCAGAGGGGGCAAAATCAGCTTAATTTGTAGCAATTTGAAGCAGGTCTTTGCCAGGATTTGAATATCAAATTATCCCACAGCCTGGGCTGGCCTGGGAGGCGACCCCCCTCCTCGCCCTGTGCCTCGGCTGCAACATGAGGCTGGGCTGAGGCCAGGCTGGGAGAGGCTGGGGCTGGGGACGGAGCACACTGGGGGAGTGGGGAAGGAGGAGGTCTCCCGTCAGCGCCCGTTCCTGGAAGGCCCGGCGGCGGCCCGAGGGATGGGATGCAGGTGGAAGACCAGTGGTTGAGACGTCACCCAGGGCTCAGGTCCAATACAGGCGCTCTCCTTCTCCATGGGTTCCACAACACACTGAGGGTCGGAAAATCTGGGGAAAAAAAATGTGTATGTACTGAGCACGCCCAGACTTTTTCTTGTCATTCCCCAAAGAGCGATTTAGAATGTGCAGTAAACACGGCCATAGAGTGCAGCAACTCCGGACGCAGAATTCCCGCGGTACCCCCATTAGGCATTAGCTCAGTGATGAGCGGGGCTCTAAGCGTGCAGGAGGGTGTGCGGACAAGGAGCTTGAGCAGCTGCAGAGCCGGGCATCTGTGGAGGCCACCTGGACCAATCCCCCAAGGACACGGAGGGTGACTTATTCAGATTTCCAGGCCCCTCCCAGACATGAGGGCTCACGATGCTCACGACCGTTCCTGCGCCAGCATGGCCCCCGATGCCCGCATCAGCTCCCCTTCCGGGCCAGCACGCCCGTCTCCGCAGGTCTCCTGGCCCCCCGACCCCGTTCCCCTGTGTTTGCCTGGCAGACAGCCTCTCAGGTCCCCCACGTGGGATATGCTGCCCAGACCCAAGCCCCAGGGAGCACGCCACTCTCACGGACATGTCACCAATGGAGGCGCACTGGGCCTCTGGAGGGAGGGCCAGGGCTGGGGGCACCGTCTGTGTCCCTGGGCCCATCAGTGAGAAAGCAGGGACAACAGTGACTGGGACGGCCCGAGTGGCCATCTATCTGCCCCCTCCAACACCATCAGCACAGAGATGCGAAGTCCAGTCCTTGTCCTCAGAGAGCCCACAGCTGGGGAGGAAGTGGACCAGGCCCTGGTGGAAGCACACAGTGTGACAGCACTAGGGAGACCACCAGCAGGGGCACACTTGGCTCAGCAGTGAAGATTCCCTTGGGACGTCTGCATGCCGCCCGCCCGGGGACTCCATTGCTGATGTTCACCCTGGGAAGCAGCAGGTGGTAGCACGGTACTTGCGTCATTGCCACCCCCGTGGGAGACCTGGAATGAGTTCCTGGTTCCTGGCTTGGGCCTGGCCCAGGCGTGGGCACTGCAGGCATTCGGAGAGTGAACCAGTGCATGAGAGCTCTGTCTGTCTCTCTGTCTCTCTGTTTCTCAGGTTAAAAAAAAAAATTATTATGTCCAAGACACAATTCTAAGTGCTTTTCCTCTATCTGCTCATTTAATCCTTGCAAAACTCTGAGAGGTAGGAATTACATTCACCCATTTTACAGATGAGAAAACGGAGGCACAGAGAGACCAATGAGGTGCCCCAGGTCACACAGTGGTAAGCGGTGGACCTGAGGTTCATAGCCCGGCCATCTAACCTTGAACTCTGTCTTCTTCCATACACCTTTTGTCTCAAACTATTTCCCTCTGCCCTTTCATACATAGTCTCCAAAATAGTGACTTGCCTTGTTTTGTTTTTTTAAAAGATTTATTTATTTATTTGAAAGTCAGAGTTACGCAGAGAGAAGGAGAGGCAGAGAGAGAGAGTCTTCCATCTGCTGGTTCATTCCCCAATTGGCTGCAATGGCTGGCGCTGAGCTGATCCGAAGCCAGGAGCTTCTTCCAGGTCTCCCACGCAGGTGAAGGGGCCCGAGGACTTGGGCCATCTTCTACTGCTTTCCCAGGCCATAGCAGAGCTGGACTGGAAGTGGAGCAGTCGGGACTCGAACCAGCGACCATATGGGATGCCAAAACTGCAGGCAGCAGCTTTACCCGCTACGCTACAGCTTTTTTTTTTAAAAGATGTATTTATTTATTTGAAGGTCAGAGTTACAGAGACAGAGGGAGAGACAGAGATCTTCTATCCCCTGGGTCACACCCAAATGGCCCCATGAAGGTCGAGGCTGGGCCACACTGAAACCAGGAGCCAGGAACTCCATGTGGCTCTCCCACATGGGTGGCAGGGGCCCAAGCACTTGGGCCATCTTCTGCTGCTTTCCCAGGTACATTAGCAGGGAGCTGGATTGGAAGAAGGACGGCTAGAACTTGAACTGGCGCTCTGATGTGGGAAGCAGCGTTGCACAGGCTGAACCTGCTGCACCACAGCACCGACCCGACCTGCCTTCGTTTTAGAGCTATAATTGCAGTGTTTTCAGGGGCACAGAAGGAAGTCTGAGCCTATACTAGGGCAATCACAGAAGGCCTTCTGGAGGCAGCTTTATTTGTTCAATGATGGTACAAAGCAGGCACTGTGTACCTGATACCGGTGATGCAGAGATGAGAAAGCACTTTTTTGTCCTCTAGAAGCTCACACATTGGGGCCATGAACACCCCATTAGCACATATGCTAAGTGCCCTGAGGGAGGAAGTACAGGGGATTATGGGAGCACTGGGAAGACCCTCAAAGTGGGGGAGATCAGGGCAGACTTTCTGGAGGAGGCATGCTTGAGCTGAGACTGAAAAAATGAATGGAAATAGGTCTTGTCAAGTGGAAGTTAGGGGGGCCCAGAGGTCTGTGCGCACATGCATCCCTCTTTGTTGCCACTGGTCCCTGCCTGTGGGGGGGCAACCTAAGCCATCCCATCTCTGACCACCTACCCAGGCAGATCCCCTGGGTCTGTGTCCCCAACCCCAGTGCGTTCCTACGAGGCAGGGCCTGAGCCCCAGACTCCTGAACCCCCAGATCCTGGGCCTGGGTGGGGCAGGGGGCTGGGACTATTGAGGGGCAGTGGCTTCCTTCAGACGTCTGGTTCAAGGGTGCCTGGAATGTGGAGAAAGAAGGGGCCCCAGAAACCACCGAACCCCACTGAGAAGCAAGGCGCTGGAGCTGAGATGGGATTGCCACTGCAGGCTCCCGGGGGCCTCGTGGCCTCTCTGGGGTGGTCTGCCCCAGCCCCCGGGCTCCCCCCGCCATGGCCCCCATGTCCGTCTTGCCTGGTGGTGGCCAGGGTGGCTTTCCCTGAATAACGATGGTATTGGCTCAGATTAAGGGCAACTAGCTGGCTCTTGGCTTTTCCTTTTTATATAACAACTAATCTCCTTCTAATCAGCCATTATTAAATTATATTCCGTTTTTAATTCATTCACAGATCACCGTTGGGACAGCTGGATGGATAATTGGGGAGAGATAATTTATGTAAATGAGGAGCAGCAGAAGGTGGGGAACAGGGAGGCCCAGGGCCAAAGGGGGCCCCACTGCGCCCAGGCTGGAGAAGGAGCCGTGGCCTGGCCCCCACCCCCGGGAGGCTGGGGCCTGCGGTGGGACCAGACTGCTCTGTGCCAGGTGCTGCCTCGGAAGATGGCGCAAGTGCTTGGGCCCCTGCCACCCCTTGGGAGACCCGGATGGAGTCAGCTTCCGCCTGGTCCAGGTATGACCACTGTGGGCTGGCTTCACTCATTGAAGAGTGAACCAGTGGATGGACGATGTGTGTGTGTCTCTCTGCCTTTCAAATAAATAAATCTTAAAAAAAAAAAAAAAGTGCCAGGTGCTAGACTCCGCCCTCGACACCTAGCATCTTCACACATCTCAGAACCATCTGGAGCGGGTGCTGCTGTCTCCATTTCCCAGATGAATCGACTGTGGACCCACGTCCACGCACCCGGTCCTCAACGGAAACTCAAACTCAGCTGGCAGCCCTGGACGGCGGCTGGAGGCCACCTTGGGGAGCTGCTTGGGGCCGGTGCAGCCGGGGTGGGGACTGCAGGGCTGCAGGGCGATGAGGCTGCATCTCCAGCCTGCTGGCATGGGGTGCGCACGGGTGGGCAGAGGGCCCGAGGGGCATGTGGCAGAGGCTGGCGGAGGACCTTGGACCGTTCCCAGAGGGAGTGGATTAAGAAGGGCTGGGGAGGGTGGTCCTCGGAGGTCCGCAGAGTAATGGGATTAGCTCTCAGGCAGCGAGTGAAAGTTATTATCGTGTGGGGCCGCTGGCCTCCCACCCGAGGCTGCAGCTGTCACCCACCCCCGGGAGAGAGCCTCCAACGGGCAGGCGGGCGCGCTCGGTGCCCCCAGGCCTTCCCGCCGTGGTCATCTGTCAGAGGCTGGCCTCCGAGCCTCGGCCTTCTGCCACCCCGACAGCCGGGGCCACCCGCGCGCACCACGCCCGGGCACTGCCCCGTGCCCTGTTTCCCCATGGCCTCCGTGACACGGAGGCCCCCGGGCTTTCTGACTGCCGAGCTTCCGCTGTGTGACTCCAGGGAGATCTGTCAGCCTCTCTGTGCCCTATGGTTAAGCGGCCGGGCTCTCCTAGGGGCCACAGCAGCAGCTCCCCGGCGCTGGGCAGCGGGCGGCCCGAGGCCTGCCCACTCCCGGCGGCCGGGTCTGGTGCGAGCGTCGCGCCCGGGCTGCGGGGCCGCTCTCGGCGCCCTCTAGCGGTGACGCCGCCGCCGGCGGGGAGGGCGTCGGAGGGCTCCCCGGCCGCGGGCTGGCGTCCGGCACAGCAGCGTCTCTCCCCTGGCGCAGGTGGCCGCTGGCTGTGAACATCAAAATGCCTCCCGGGAAGGGCAGCGCTTCAAGGGCCGTCTTACTCCGGGCTGCCCCGGCAGAGGCCCAGGTTGGCGGCGGTTGGCGCCCCAGCGGTACCCGGGGGGCAGCCGCGGGTGCGAGTGTGGGACGGGGGCAAGCCACTCCCTTTTCTTTATTCCTGTTTTGATGAAGGCTGTTAACGCTTGTATTACTTATTTTGTTATTCGACAGGCAGAGGGACGGAGGGGTGTGGGGAGAAAGCGTCCAACTGCTGGTTCGCTGCCTATGTGCCTGCAATGTTGTCCAGCCAAAGCCAGGAGCCAGCCAGCGATGGTCTCCCACGTGGTGGCAGGGACCCAAGTACCTAAGCCATCACCTGGTGCCTCCCAAGGGTGCACTGTAGCAGGAAGCAGGACTTGGAAGCAGGGCCAGGACTGGAAGCCAGGCACTCCGATGTGGGCTGCCAGTGTCCTGGGTGGTGTGGTGACCAGCTGTGCCACAATGCCCACCCCCAAGCTGCTCTCTTGTCTAGCCTCCTCTGTCATGGTCGGAGACAGGCTGGGTCAGGTCAACTGGAGGAGCCCTTTCATTTTTTATTTTTAGAAGATTTATTTGAAAGGCAGAGTAAGGAGAGAGAGAGAGAGAGAGAGATCTTCCATTTGCTAGTTCACTCCTCAAATGACCCAACAACTAGGGCAGGGACAGGCTGAAGCCAGGATCTTCCTCCAGGTCTCCCGTGTGGGTGCAGAGACCCAAGGACATGGGCATCTTCCCCTGCTTCCCCAGGTGCATTAGCAAGGACTCACATGGATGCCGGCAGTGCAAGCTGTGGCTTAACCATTTTATTTTTTAAGTCGAATCTCAGTTTTTAAATTAATTTTATTTTAATTTGAAAAGCAGAGAGACAACAGAGATATCTCCCATCACTAATTGACTCCCCAAATGCCCACAATAGCTGAGGCTGGGCCAGGCCAAAGCCAGGAGCCAGGATCTCAATTCAAGGCTCTTATGTGGGTGGTAGGGAGACAACTACCAAAGTTATCACTGTGGTCTCCCAGGGTGCAGGACTGGGGCCCGGGGAATCCTATCTAGGGTTTGGGAGTCCCCACAGAAACTCTTTTCAATACTCAAAAATCCACAGCTTCCCTCCAAGGTAGTACTTTCACTTCCCATATTTGACTCTGGGGGGTGCCCACATAATGACCTCAAACTACTAGGCGCTCAATAATGCTTTTACATGAATTATTATTTACTAACCTCAGTGCCTCTGTGTTTTTACATACTTAGAAGAGTGTGGAGCAGCTGGGGCTTGAACTGGCACCCATATGGGACGCCAGCACTGCAGGCAGCAGCTTTACCCACTACGCCACAGCACTGACCCCAATGGAATTTCTATTTATTTATTTTTTATTTTTTATTATTTTTTCAATGGATTTTTTAAAAGAAAAAACACACAGTCACGCAGTGAAATACTGTGCTGTTGTCCCTGCACATTCTGATCTGGAAGACAATATCAGCAAGGAAAAAAAGGAGGACGCAGGTGAGAATGTTTCACTTTATCTTTGCAAAACAGAAGATGTGCTGTTATCTTTCATCTCTGGGAGGGTGAAACACTGGTTACTGGTTGGTTGTTGGAAGGGACTCAGGTGCCCGGTGAACAGGGATGGGTGAGAAGCCCACGCTGTCCTCTCTGCCCTTTGGTATTATTTCAGTTTTGAACTATATAATGTATATATTATCTACCTGGGTGAGTTAGTAACTCATTAAACGGCAGTGCACACAAGTGTAATGTACTCATTGAATCTCACTTGCCACTCCTGCCAGCACACAGCAGGCACTTAATAAATGCTAGTTCCCTTTGGCTCCTCACAGCTCCAGAGCAGACACTCGGGATTTGTTAAGTGTTTACCCAACCATCTCCCCCTCTACACTGTGAGCCTTAATTAATGGGCACATAGATGTTTGCTAAATGACCAAGGGGTTATACCAGGCTTTCCGAGGCTAGGCCAAGGGCCTCTGTTGCCCCCAGGAGGCGTGGACAGGGCGTCTGTGCCAAGGGCCGGTAGGGGGTGCAGATTACCAAGGATGCTTGGGGTGAGGGAGGAGGCCGAGTGGGCATCTGACCATTAGCGGGGGCACAGAGCAGCCTCCCCCTGCACTCTGGCCAGCGGCAGCCGCATTCAGCTTCCAGGACCACGGGTGGAGGCATGAACCCAGGGCCAGGGGCCACCAGAGAACCCTGTCCCTTGGGCCCTACAGCCGGGAGCCTCAGGGGCAGGCCCCTGGTTTGCCCTCTTCTTCCTGGGCTCCCCCTTCTGCTGGGCTCCATACGACGCCCAGGCCTTTGTGAGTGGAGAGGGACGAGGGCTCTCACAGGTGCTGGGCATTGTGGAGAAGAGGTGGCATCAGGACCCCAGCAGCCAGCGGCACCTGGCATGCCCTCGGCTGCCCACTCAGGAGTCCCCGGGAGCCCGTAATTTGGGGGTGCCCTGCAGCTGGAGCACTTCTTAGGTGAGGCACCCCATGGCCTTGACCCACCCAGCCCCCGTGGGCACTGTTCAATGTACTGCCAGCTCACCTGGCACGTGTGTCACGTCCTAGATCTCACTGAACCCTCACAAAAGTAAGGGAAGGTCTGCAAAAATTATTCTCTTTCAAAGATTTATTTACTTTGAAAGGCAGAGTCAGAGAGAGAGAGAGAGAGAGAGAGAGAGAGAGAGATCTTCCATCCTCTGGTCCACTTCCCAAATGGCTGCAACAGCCAGGGCTGGGCCAGGCTGAAGCCAGGAGCCAGGAGCTTCTTCTGGGTCTCCCCACGTGGGTGCAGGGGCCCACCACTTGGGCCATCGTCCACTGCTTTCCCAGGTGCATTAGCAGGGAGCTGCCTCGGAAGTAGAGCAGCAGGGACTCAAACTGGCACCCATATGGGATGCCGGCGCTGCAGGCCACGGCTTAACCCACTGTGCCACAACACCAGCCCCTTCTCTCTCTCTTTTTTTAAAGATGGGAACTGCGGCTCAAAGAAGTTAAATCACTTCCCGGAGCCACAGAGCTCCCAAGTGGGAGGGCCAGGACTGGAGGCCAGCTCAGGCTGCCTGCATAGGCCCGGACTCCTGCCCCTCTACCCACTCCCTCTTCCCTCTCATTAAACCCCAGGAGCTGGTCCCCTGGACCGGAAGCTTGCCCTTCTCCATGGCCTGCGCTTCCTACGGCCCCACCTGCCTGTAAGTCCTGCACACCCCCCACCCCAAGTCCACCAGCTTCCCAGGCAGTCCCCGGGACCCCACTGTCCAGGGACAGGGGTGGGGAGAGGGCCTCAGTGCCTTAGCCAGGCCCATAGCTGAGCACCGTGGGGAGGCCGGCGCGGTGCACAGCGCTGATCCTAACCAAGTTTGCCAGCCCAGCTTTTCTCAGGGCTCCCACACAATGGTCTGCTTTGTGCCCACCTGCCGATAATGCTTAATTAGGCGAGGAGTTGATTAATTTGAGGTAATTGACAGCTAATTAGAAGCCTACAGGCTCATTAACTTGACATCTTGTCCTCGCGAATTGGCTGAGCAGGGTCAGGTGATGGAAGCCGTTGTTTCCCCCTCCTCAGCTCTGCCCATTCCCGCAGGCTGAGGGGATCACCTGGGGGGGGTGGGGCCACCCCGGGGTTCAGGTGGGATGGCCCCAAGGCCAAGGATGCAGGAAAGCAGGGCAGTGAAGGAGCAAGGCCCTGGCATGGGGCCGTCTGCCCTGAGCGTGGGAAGGAGGCGCTGAGCAGGCGGGAAGGGCTTGCGGCTCTCGGAGGGAAACACCTGGAGTCCGTGCACGGAGAAGGAGGCCCGGGGCGCCCGCGCGAGAAGGAGGCCCGGGGCGCCCGCGCGGGGAACCTGCGGGTAGGAGGCACAGGCGTGGCAGCGAGGCAGCCCCGGGTTGAATCCCAGCCCTGCTGCTAACCGGGGAGGGGACTCCCAGGGCAGGTTCACCTTTCAGCCGCAGGCTTCTCCTCTTCTCGTGGGCTAACCCCAGCACCTGCCTCATGAGCTGGTGAAGGAGGAGTCCAGAAACAGGAAGTAAAGCAGTCAGATCAGCGCGTGGGGGCCTGGCAAGGGTCAGCAGGGAGCGGCAATGTGGAGAGGGGATGAGTGGGGGGAGTGCGCCTCAGGGTCGTGGGGAGGCAATGGACACCCCCTCCCTAGAGGAGCCACCGTCACCCCTCAGGAAGCCTGCCTGCTAGGTCACGGCCGTGGGGTTGAGAGGGTGGGGGAAAGATCTGCCTGTTACAACCCCTGTAGGGAGCAATTGGCATTTGACCTTTGACCCAGCAATTCCCCCACTGGTCACTGGGTCTGTGGATATATTTGGACCTGCACGAAGACTGAAATATAAGAATATGAGGGCCGGCGCTGTGGCACAGTAGGTAAAGCCGCTGCCTGCAGTGCCAGCATCCCATATGGGTGCCGGTTTGAGTCCCGACTGCTCCACTTCTGATCTAGCTCTCTGCTGTGGCCTGGGAAAGCAGTATGAGATGGCCCAAGTCCTTGGGTCCCTGCACCGGCGTGGGAGACCCAGAAGCAGCTTCTGGCCCCTGGCTTCGGATCGGCACAGCTCCGGCTGTTGTGGCCAGTTGGGGCGTGAACCTTCTCTCTCTCTCTGTGTAGCTCTGACCTTCAAATAAACAAATAAATCTTTTAAAAAAAGATACAAGGATATGTGTGCATCCCAATAAAAACTTGTAGTAGTACAAGTCCAGCAGCAACCTAAATGCCCCTGCAAGCACCTGGCTAACCAAACGGTGGTGCCCCCACACAGGGAGAGGATGTGCACCAGCATGAATGAGCCTCCAGACAAACAGAAATAAAAGCAAGCGGGGAGCCAGTGGCTGAGGGTTAGGGGTAGGATGTACTTTTCACTGTTTGCTCACTTTAAATACGTATATGAAAACAAACAAACAGAAACCAACCAGGGGCCAGAGTTGTGGTGCAGCAGGTAAAGCCACCACCTACCATGCCAGCATCCCATATGGACACTGATTCAAGTCCCGGCTGCTCCACTTCCAATCCTGCTCCCTGCTAATGTGCCTGGGAATGCAGTGGAGGACAACCTAAGTATCTGGGCCCCTGCACCCACGTGGGAGACCTGGCAAAAGCTCCTGGCTCCTGGCTTTGGCCTGGCCCACCACTGGCTATTGCAGCCATTTGGGTAGTGAACTAATGGATAGAACATTTCTCTATCTCACTGTCTTTCTCTCTCTCTGCAACTCTGCCTTTCCAAGTAAATAAATAAATCTTAAAAAAAAAAAAACCAAAAAACTTAAAAAGGTGAAAAAGGAGCAGGTGTTTAGTCTGGTGGTTGAGATGCCTACAGCCCACAGCAGAGCATGTGGGTTTCATTCCTGGCTCTGACTCCCGACTTCAGCTTCCTGCTAATGCAGCTCCTGGAAGGCAGGGGTGAGAGTTCAAGTGAATGGGGCCCTGCCACCCACATGGGAGACCTGGATTGTGTTCCCAGCCCCCGCCTGCTAGCTCCCAGCCCCAGCTCTTGTGGGCATTTGCGTAAACTAGTCAATGACAGAATTCTTTGTCTCAAATAAATATAAAATATTTTTTAAAATATTTATTTATTTATTTGAAAGAGTTACACAGAGAGAGGAGGAGAGGCAGAGAGAGAGAGAGAGGTCTTCCATCTGCTGGTTCACTCCCCAATTGGCCGCAACAGCTAGAGCTGCACTAATCCAAAGCAAGTAGCCAGGAGCTTCTTCTGGTCTCCCACACAAGTGCAGGGGCCCAAGGAGTTGGGCCATCTTCTACTGCTTTCCCAGGCCATAGCAGAGATCTGGATTGAAAGTGGAGCAGCTGGGACTCGAACTGGCGCCCATATGGGATACCGGCACCGCAGGCAGTGGCTTTACCTGGTACTCCACAATGCCGGCTCCAGGAACTGAATTTTTAATTGTATTTACTTTAAATTTAGGTTTAATAGCTACAGGAGGCTAGTGACTACCAATATGAACAACACAGAAATCTCTTTGAGATTTAGTGCTTAGTGCTGATGACTCCAGGCTCACCTGCTGTGCCGACACAGGCTCTTTGCCAAATGTGGGAGAGGTTGCAACCTCAGAATGGTCTCGTGAAACTTGGTTCTAGAAAGAAGTAGACCTAGGGGCCAGCATTGTAGAGTAGCGAGTCCTGGGTGCTCCACTTCAGATTCAGCTCCTTGCTAATGGCCTGGGAAAGCAGTGGGAGAGGGCCCAAGTGCTTGGGCCCCTGCACCCATGAGGGAGACCCGGAAGAAGCTCCTGGTTCCTGGCTTCAGCTTGGCCCAACCCAGCTTTTGCAGCCATTTGGGGAGTGAATCAGTGAATGGAAGACCACTCTCTCTGGCTCTCTCTCTGTAACTCTTTCAAATAAATAAAATAAATCTTAAAAAAAGGAAAAGAAAGAAGTGGTGCTAGCTCCATTCTAGTAGAATCAGAACGGCTGGAGTGGAGCAGGTCTGAGTTGGTGGCTCACTTGGAATCCAGTAATTTTAGGAAGAGAACTTGAACGATCCTCGGGTGAAAAGGCACATCTTTGGCTGTGAGATCAGTGGTCAGCTCCACCTGGGGAGAATGTAAGCGATGCCTCAGGTGACGGATGCAGGCATTCCATTCGGCAGCTGTGCAGAGAGCTCCGTGGCAGGCTGGGCTCTGAAAACACACAGAAGCCCGGCTTGGTCCTCGCTCCCAAGGAGCCCTCTGAACAGGGGCTGAATTCTCGGTCAAGGGCAGTTGACCACGGCGCTGTCTCACAGGAGAGACTCAGATCTAGAACGGAGCATCCGAGACCCTTGGGGTTGGACTGACATCTGTGCCCCAAGGGGTTGCAGAGAGAGGACACAGGACAGGCTCCTCCAGCCCTTGTGCTGGGTCTCTCTTCTGTCTTCTCCCAACACCGCAGCCTTCACCCCTCACGCAGCCTCCTGCCCCCCATCTCTGCTTTCCAGGTTTGTGGGCCCCCACCCCGAGCCAGCCTCATCATTCCTCCCTGTCATGTCGACTTTCATTTTCCTAGGACGAATCTCATTTGACAATCTCCTGCCCATATTTCTAAGCTCTCTGGGTCTCGCTGTGCTATTTCTCTGTCCTCTCTGGGACACCAATTGTAACACCAATCATCTGCAGGTTTCATTAGCATGCTGTTTACCCCTGTCTTTCAGATCATTAATGAAGATGTGAAGTGAGACACCAGTCCTCACGGCCCCCACCACGTGCCCCTCCCATGCCCGGCGCTGCTGGAGTCATTATCCTTCCTGGTGTGACAGGGTCAGAACCAAACCAATTTGCATCAATCTTTGGCGATGCGGGGAGGTGTCGTCGGCCCCGCGCTTCTGCTGTAACACTGCTTCGCTGTCTCTTCTGGAGTGCTCCTCTCTCTTTTGGAGGGCTGATCAGATCTGGCTACCCCAGTGCGTCTGGCTGAAAGCCCCGGAACTGCTGTAATCATTGGGCAGGATTCAGGGCTGCACAGGGCTGATGTTTTCCTGTCTTTTTTTTTTTTTTTTTTTTTTTTGTTCCAAGCTGAGCTGAACACAGAGCAGACGTGTGCAAGTAATGGCGGAGGAAGGAGCAGGTGCAGCAGGCAGGGAATGCTACTCACTCATCATGAAATCTCTTTCTTTCCTTTCTTCTTTCTTTCTTTCTTTCTTTTTTTTTTTTTTTTTTGTTTATAAGGTTTTATTTGAAAAGCAGAGAAAGAGAGAGAGCACAAGAGAGACAGAGGTGGAGAGAGAGAGGGAGAGAAAGAGAGAGGGAGAGAAAGAGAGAGGGAGAGAAAGAGAGAGGGAGAGAAAGAGAGAGGGAGAGAAAGAGAGAGGGAGAGACACAGAGAGAGAGAATTTCCATTCACTGGTTCACTCATCTTAAATGGCCACAGTGGCTGGGGTTGGGCCAGGCCGAAGCCCGGAGTCTGGAACTCCATCCTGTCTCCCAGGTGGGTGGCAGGGGTTCAAGGACTTGGGCCATCCTCTCCTAGTTTCCCAGGTGCATTAGCTGAGAGCTAGATGGGAAGTGGAGCAGCCGGAACTCGAACTGATATAGGATGCCAGTGTGGGCAAGCAGCAGCTTAACTGGCTGTGCCACAATGCCAGCCCCACAACATCTATTTCTACTAAGGAAGATGAGATGCAAAGCACCTCACGGCCCTCCAAAGCCTCATCAGATGTGGGACTCACATGCTCCGGCTGCTTAGGGACAAGGTCCATTCTTCTCTATTATTTTTCTAGGTCCTTTGGCCCTGATGCTTTTTCTCTTATGAATCGATTCTCATCTTGCAGGAAAACTGTGCACACACACGTGTCTCCCAATGAAGGTGAGAACCACCCTCTGCGCACGGCTGGCAGCCCTCAGATCCCAGCCTGGGGGAAGTGCATTGGTTCCCCTTCCTGATGGTGGGCCGTCTGTGATGAGCACACGGGCCCACTGTCAGCCTCCCTCCCCCATCCCTTCTGACCCCTAACTCTTGCCTCCTCTCTCCTCACTGGGAGGGTGACCCCCACAAACACAACACTGACATGTTTTGCGTGCCCAGGAGCTGGGGCGATTCAGCCTCCAGATTCCATGGCAAACTTTGGTGAGATATTTTTCTCAGTGTAGGGATGGACCGAAACAAAAGATAATAGCTATTTTGCAACACTGACTGACCACCCACTGCCTGAGCACTTTTGTCCCTAGGCACAGGCTTTGTGGGCAAAGTGTGATGGGGGCTGCCCTGGCATGACGAGTGAATGAGTTGTTTGTGTTCACCTTACTTGGAATGGACAGAGCCTAGGGCAGGGCTGCTCAGTAAATATTTGCCAGCTTCCAGACGGATAGACATGTGCATACATAAGAACAAATGTCAGGGCTGGTGTTGTGTGGCAGCGGAATAAGTCACTGCCTGCAACGCCAGCATCTCATATGAGCTCTGGTTCAAGTCCCGGCTGCTCCACTTCTGATCCAGCTCCCTGCTAATGCAGGTGGGAAAGCAACATTAAATGGCTCAAGTGCTTGGGCCCCTGCCACCCTTGTGGGAGACCTGGATGGAGTTCTAGACTCCTGGTTTAGGACTGGCCCAGGCCTTTCTATGGCAGCCACTTGGGGAGTGAACCAGCAGATAGAAGATGGATCTTTCTCTCCCTTTGTAACTCTGCCTTTCAAATAAATAAATAAATAGTAAAAAGTTTCATTATTATATACAAAGGCTATTGAAGAAATGATAATGGGCTGAGCTCTTGGACAGGATAGTTTAAGTCCTGTATGCCCGGCTCCAGAGGGCTTCTTTCTCCCTACTAAAAGTGATTCATGCTTCTGTAGAGCGTTTGGACAATGTAGAGGAACACAAAAATTACCCATAATCCCCCAACAGGGCAGCAAGCAGTGTTACCACCTTGGCCTACTTCCTTCCAATTTTGTTGCCCACCCATGGGAGACGATGCCGCATTATTATAATTTTACAGCTTGGGGCCGGAGCTGTGACATAGAGGGTTAAAGCCACCGCCTACAGTGCCGGCATCCCATATGGGTGCTGGTTTGAGTCCCGGCTGCTCCACTTCCGATCCAGCTCTCTGCTATGGCCTGGGAAAGCAGTAAAGATGGCCCAGTGGATGAAATATCTCTCTCTGGCTCTACTTCTCTATGTAACTCTTTCAAATAAATAAATCTTTTTTTCCAAAAGGCCCTTTCTATTATAAAAAAAATTTACAGCTTGCCATCTTCACTCATCCTTTGATAAAGTCATTTCATCCATGATATCGTAACTTACAAATATGTTGCATGGCGGGGTACCAGCTCATTGTGCAGGTGCACGTTTGAAGGAATCTTGGTGAAGTTCCACTGGTAGGAAGGTGGAGGTGGTGGCAGCACAGACAGGTGGCAAAGGGCAGGACAAGGCAGAGACGCTCTCAGGAGCTGCCCCCCAGGCCCCAGGGACCATTTCTGGTTCATGGCCCTGCCGAGTTCCCCCGGCGGCTGCAGCCAGCGCTTCTCATTTCCACTCAGCTTCGAGTCACTGACTTTTCCAACTTGACTCTTCTCAGCTGCTCCTTTGTAAGGAGCCGCCGGCTCGGGCCAGCGTGGCTGCTTCCAGGAAAGCCCCAGATTGTGACCTTCCACCTCACTTGACCCTGACCAGGCTGCTCCCTGCGGTTCCCAGAGAGGGCACAGTCCAGAGCAGGCTCTGAGGAGCTGAGGCCAGAGAGGACCCTGGTGAGCCCGGGGAAGGACTATTACCGTATTTTCCCTGGGTGATGATCCATTTTTAACATATGTGAGTAATAAATTAAACACTACGCTGAGTGCAATTTTACAGCTATATCCATCAAGCCATTATGTAGCAGGTAAGCTAGGTCAGGCACAGTTCTAAACACTTGGCAAGGGCCCATGTAATCTCTGCAACTACCCCAGTAGTTGCTAACATTGAACTTGACCAACCTCACGCCACAGAGCAGCTGGGGGGAGGGTGGAGGGACAGGGGAAGGGGAGTGTGACTGAATAAACAGGGAGGTGCAATGACTGGATTCGTGGCTTATGCCAAGCTCAGAAACCTACAGTGTCACCGGAAATTCACTTTCCTCCCTTGCTTATCACCAACAAATGGTCTTTCTTAAAGTTCTTTTAATTTTTTTTTGAAAGACAGAGGGAGAGAGAGAAGTCTGGTTCACTTCCCAAATGCCTGCAACAGCCAAGCTGGGCAAGGCAGAAGCCAGGAGCCGGGAGCTCAATTCAGGCCTCCCATGTGGATGGCAGGGGCCCAAACACTCGAGCCATCATCTTCTGCCTCCCAGGATGCAAGTCGGCAGGGAGCTGGATTGGAAGCAGAGGAGCAAGGACTTGAACCAGGCACTTCGTGATATGGACTGCACGCGTCCCAAGCAGCAACCTAACTGCTGTGCAAACACCTGCCCCCAACAAATGGCCCTTCCTGCCACTGTCTGTAGTCAATAGCTGTTGTGTTCTTAGCCATGTTGTGGGCTGCTTCTTCTTTTTATTAATTTGTATTTATTTGAAAGGCAGAGACAAACAGAGAGCGAGACAGGTCTTCCTTCTGCTGGTTCACTCCCCAAATACCCACAACTTGGGCTGGGCCAGGACAAAGCCAGGAGCCCGGAACACTCAATACAGGTCTCCCACATGGGTGGCAGGGACCCAAGTACTTGGGTCATCACCAGCTGCCTCCCAAGGTACATTAGCAGGAAGCGGGACTCAAACCCAGGGACTCTAATATGGGATGCAGGTATCCCAAGCAGTGTCTGACCCACGCCCCTGGGTAATCTCTGTGAAGTGCGAGAGGTCCGAGCAAATCGAGGCTGAGAGAAAGGAGACTTGCACACACTCGTGCCTGTCTCTCAAAATCCAAGCTGTAACAAACACCTCAGATCAACAACAAGGCCACAAACACTGACTATCATGGCACAGCTCATTTTTCAACAAATTCTTCTTCAGCACCTATTATGTTTCAGGTATCACTCTTTTTTTTTTTTTTTTTGACAGGCAGAGTGGACAGTGAGAGAGACAGATCTTCCTTTTTGCCATTGGTTCACCCTCCAGTGGCCGCTGCGGCTGGCACGCTGCAGCCGGTGCACTGCGCTGATCTGAAGGCAGGAGCCAGGTGCTTCTCCTGATCTCCCATGGGGTGCAGGGCCCAAGCACTTGGGCCATCCTCCACTGCCTTCCCTGGCCACAGCAGAGAGCTGGCCTGGAAGAGGGGCAACCGGGAAAGAATCCGGCGCCCTGACTGGGACTAGAACCCGGTGTGCCGGCGCCGCTAGGTGGAGGATTAACCTATTGAGCCGCGTCGCCGGCTCAGGTACCACTCTTAAGTCCTGCTTACAACCAAAGGAAGTATAGCAGACTGAACATATTTGGATCAATTCTTTTTTTTTTTTTTTTTTTTTTTTTTTTTTTTGACAGGCAGAGTGGATAGTGAGAGAGAGAGACAGAAAGGTCTTCCTTTGCCCTTGGTTCACCCTCCAATGGCCGCCGCGTCTGGCGCGCTGTGGCCGGCGCACCGCACTGATCCGATGGCAGGAGCCAGGAGCCAGGTGCTTTTCCTGGTCTCCCATGGGGTGCAGGGACCAAGCACCCGGGCCATCCTCCACTGCACTCCCAGGCCACAGCAGAGAGCTGGCCTGGAAGAGGGGCAACCGGGACAGAATCCGGCGCCTGGACCGGGACTAGAACCCGGTGTGCCGGCGCCACAAGGCGGAGGATTAGCCTAGTGAGCCACGGCGCCGGCCTGGATCAATTCTTGATACCTCCCACAAGTCATTTAAAAACTCCAATCCTACCGTTCCCTCTGTGACTTGGATAGGAAAGACGGGGGTGGGAAAAACTGATGTGACTATTTACTTGAGCTTTTTGGCTTCTCAGGGGATTTTACATAATTGAGTGTCTTTTGGTATTGGAGGTCTCCTTTTATTTTTAAAATTTTATTTATGTGGGGCTGGTACCGTAGTGTAGTAGGTTAAGCTGCCGCCTGCGGTGCTGGCATCCCATATGGGCTGCTCCACTTCCATTCCAGCTCTCTGCGATGGCCTGGGAAAGCAGTAGAGGATGGCCCAAGTCCTTGGTCCCCTGCACCCACGTGGGAGACCTGGAAGAAGCTCCAGGCTCCTGGCACTGGATCGGAACAGCCCCGGCTGTTTGGGGAGTGAACCAGTGGATAGATCTCTCTCTCTGCCTCTGCCACTCTGTAAATCTGCCTTTCAAATAAATAAATAAATCTTTAAAAATTTTTATTTATGTTTTATTTTTCAGGAATTTATGACTACATTCAATTCTCAGGATCACAGCAAATACACGATAATTACAATACAAGTCTCATCAAAGAGTCCCTTATGGAAGCATCGGGGTAGCTCAACACAGAGAAAGCAGGAGGCAAAGATGAAAACATGATAACCCAGTTCTGCTCGGAGCCCAAGTGTGACCGAAATTCTGACCGCCATTCTCCCCTGCATTCCTTTGTCCCTGCTATGCCCAAATTTATGGCCCTATCACCCGCAAGGAATCCCTGTAACGAGTGGCAATCCTGGGGCTGTTTCTGTTCATGAAGTGCCCAACCTCTGAGCCACATGGAGTGTGGCCAGTTACAGCTTCTTGCCCTGGAAGTCGATGGGGGCCTCTTCTTGGTTTTAAAAGACCAGGATTGGGCAGGAGAAGGGGAAATGGGAAACGCAGGCAGGGGTCGGGAAAGAGCCGGAGATGTAAAGGTGATGGTGTCTGAAAACACAGGCCAAGGTACAGAGGGCAGAGGGTGCCCCCATTCAGATCATGAGCTCTGTGAGGGCAGAGTTCATATAGGCTCTCTTTCAGACGGGTGGGCATTTGGTCCAGTGGTTAAAATGCCCCTCGTGAGGCCTCTATCCCATGTTGGACTGCCTGGGTCTAGGTGCTGACTCTGCTGCTGATTCCAGCTTCCTCCTAATGCAGACCCTGGGAGGCAGCATATAATGGTCAGATCACTGGGTCCCTGTCTCCCACATGGGAGAGCCACACTGAGTTCCAGGCTCCCGGCTTCTGTCAGGCCCAACCCTGGCTTTTACAGGTAATGTAGGGAGTGAACCAGCAGAGAGGGAAAATTTCTGTCTGCCTGCCTCTCTCGGTCTTTGCTTCCAAATAAAATGAATTAAATGGCCACAAGGGCCAGGGTCGGGCCAGGCCGAAGCCAGGAGCCTGGAACTCCACGTAGGTCAACCTAGGCAGCAGGGGCCCACGCAGTTAGGCCATCTGTGCTTTCCCAAGAGCACTAGCAGGGAGCTGGATAGGAAGTGGAGCAGCCAGGACTCCAAATGGTGCCATATGGGATGCTGGGGTTGCAGAGGCGAAGGAACAGGGCAAGGCAAGCAGCGGGCTGGGCTTCCCCTGAGGGTCGCAAACTCCAAGTGCCTCAGACACCAGCCCAGAGACAAGGTCTAGGCTGCATCCGGAGCAGGTCTCCTCTCCAGCCGGCTGCCTCTGCCCCTCTGCCCACAGCCTGTGTTCTGCTCCTTGGAAATCATCCTGCAGCAGCTGCTTGTTCAGAGACCCTGTCCCCTCACTGTCCCCCCACCCCCCGCATCTGTCCACTGGTTAGAGTTGTGTGAAGCGGAAGACAATTTGGGGCTTATTAGTGTCCCAGGGAGACATGTAACTTGTGTTGCTGGGACCCAAACAGCAAGAGTCTTAGCGGCAAACTCCAGCCGAGAAAAGAGCGAGGAATTGTCTCACCTAATTACGGGGAATGGCCCTCTTTGTGTTTGCGATTCGGTACGGTTGTCCGATCGCTTTTGATCGCTCTTCTCCGTTTGCTGGCTCAGGCCGTGCTGGAATTGTGCTAATTAGAAGAGAAATGGACAGAGTGATCCTGTCAGCCCCGGTTACTGGTGGGGACAAAGCGGAATATTCTTCTGAGGCAGTGTTTTGTGAGGGCCCTTCTCCCAGCTCTCATTAGGAGGCAGGGGCCGCAGGAGGGAAGGTTCCGAATGCCTGGCCCGGCTAATGGAGCATCGGGGTGTTCCTGTGCTAATTAACAGGCTCTGGCAGCACTCGCGCCAACGCGGAGCACCTGGTGCCACCTGAACCCCCAACCGCCCCTGCACCCGGAGAAAGAGTGCTGGGCAAAGGGTGGGAAGGCTGGTGGCCTCTTTAGGCATAGTCAGGGACACACCCCTGATGTGCCAAAAAGGCTTAACCAACAGGAAGTCAGTTACAGGCCCGTCAGGACTCATGAACTTGGAGAGACCACTGTTCGGCCGCTCTGGGGTGGGGGCTGCAAGGCTTTCTGGTGACATAAAGCCCGTGCAGGCCTCAGGTGGTCTTGTAGCAGCCAAGGGATGAAGAAAACAGAAAACGAAGAACATAAGCAAATGCCTGGAGATGGAGTTAGCGCCGGACTTGAGAGCTGGTGAGAAACTGTGTTATCTGACCCCTGGGAGCACCCACCTCCGCCCGTCTCCCACTTCCTCACTTCCTGCTCTGTTCTCCCGCCTGTGTAGACAGAAGGGATCGCAGCATACCACTGGAAAGGAAGTTTCTCGGCTTCATCACAAACCTCCTGTGGAGTCCAAACATCCTGCCGAGGCTGTGGGGGCTGCACAATGACTGACTGGTTTCATTTTCAAGGCTCTGACTTGAGTGAGTCCAGACGACTCCAATAGGCAGCAGCTAGAGAACCCAAACCAAATAGCAGTTAGCAAGAGTCCACTTAAGAAATACGACGGGTCGGGGAGTGGGTACTGTGGCCTAGTGGGTTAAGCCACTGCCTGGGATGTCCGCATCCCATATGGGAGATCCTGCTAGATCCAGCTTCTGATCCAGCTTCCTACTAATGTGTCTGTGGAGACCCAACTGCCCAGGCCCCTGTCATCCATGAAAGACTTAGGTGGAGTTCTGGGCTCTTGGCTTTGGCCTGGCCTAGAACTGGCTATTTTTGGAAACTGAGGAGTGAACCAGTGAATGGAAGATGTAGCTCCATTTCTCTGTCACTTTGTCTTTCACATAAAAATGATTTTATTAAAAATGCAAAAAATGATTAACTTTTGGTAACAAAAGGATAAATAGTGACTGTTAAATATCAAGATAATTAATACTTTATGAACCTTCAGGGATCTACTTGTAGGAGAGCCAAGCAAATCGGCAGAGGCCTAGAATCTGAGAGACTGAAGCAGGCGGGAATCAGACTACTGGTAAGAAAAGGCTTCAGTAGGGATCTGAAGAACTGCCAGCCCCAGTGCTATGCTTCTCCAGACAATGCCGCTCAGTCAACATGTGCGTTACTGGATGGTATTTGGTATGGCAAAGGGAGAAGAAAAAAAAATCTATGGACAAATAATAAATGATTAATGGGAAAATAATCTCTAAAAACATGGAGAACATCCCTAATGTTGTCCCTGTTTGGATCCAGACCGCGGATATCTACTATGCACCCAGATACTTTCTTGGAAACAAACGATGAGCAATGATGATGAGCGCTCGCTTTTCCTTAATATGGGTGACTTCCTCTAAAACAGCATGCTCTGTCCTACAGCAGGTAAACTGTCCACGGGTGACGGCAGTCACACCCATGAGCACCTACTCTTTAGTTCTTGAACTCACACTAGGGTTCTAGTAGGTGGCTGAGAAATACTTGTTTCTTAATTTATCATGCCTAACTGGAAGTCTGCAAATAGATAGATCTTTAAACCTCCGGTTTGAAGAAAACATTGCAGAATCAGATGTGTCTTGGGGAGCTTATAATTTAGTAGGACAATAAGATACAGATCCAGATCACTAAGTATAAGGCAGAGTGTGCTAAGAGTCAAAGGGAGGGTATACACGAATGTAGGAACACAGGGAGAAGGGCCTTTTTTGGCTGGATCACTGTGGGTTCTGTGCAGGTTTGACAGGTGCAAGACTTTCTGGAACACTCCATGGCATTCAGGTGAGGAGCGGGGAATCGTCTATAGTTACAGGAACCAGGACTCACGCATGGGCAAAGAAGGACGTCAGCCTGGCAGGTCAGTTGGGATTACACATGGAGAGGATGAGATTCCGATTTTATTAGCAGACACAGGGAGGCACGAAAGGTTTCTAAACACTACTTTGGAAAGATGACCAGCAGTGAGCAGGATGGCTGGGAAGGCAGACTGGAAGCTGGGAGACCAAGCAGGTGTCTATTCAGCTCCAGACCATCCACAAAGACATTCAGCTGGAAGACACTGGGCTATCTGTCCCTGCAGTTGTGCTTCTGAAGCAGTCTATGTTTGTTTTTTTTTTTTAAACTTTTATTTATTTTTTTATTTTTTGACAGGCAGAGTGGACAGTGAGAGAGAGAGACAGAGAGAAAGGTCTTCCATTGCCGTTGGTTCACCCTCCAGTGGCCGCCGCGGCTGGCACGCTGATCCGATGGCAGGAGCCAGGTGCTTCTCCTGGTCTCCCATGGGGTGCAGGGCCCAAGCACTTGGGCCATCCTCCACTGCACTCCCGGGCCACAGCAGAGAGCTGGCCTGGAAGAGGGGCAACCGGGACAGAATCTGGTGCCCCGACCGGGACTAGAACCCGGTGTGCCAGCGCCGCAAGGCGGAGGATTAGCCTAGTGAGCCGTGGTGCTGGCCACAGTCTATGTTTTGAATATGCAACTTGGCCCTCTGAGGAAAAACTCACCCTCCTATAAAAGGGACATATTTATTATGAAGACACAGAAAATATCACATACATAGTACAATCTTCTAACATTCTGAAATACATACACACACACATTGTACATAAATTTATATTATCAATATAAAAATACATCATTAACATTTCTAAGGACGACAAATACAAAACCAATAAATATCACAATTCTAATACATCGACTTACACTAAGTGCTGGTGAATAAGATGATAGTAAAAGGAAGAGGCCAAAGCGGATCAGAAAACCAACTATCTGGCTTCAGCTTACAGACCTGACTTGGTTTGGGGGAGGTATCCCAATATTTTCCATATATTTCTTAATTTCCCCAAACACTTAAAAGTGCCTGACATCATCAACTCTCAAAAACAGAGCAAGGAAAATCTGACATTATGGCACTGTATTCTGGCTGGCCACACTCACACACACACACACACACACACACACACTTCAACCGCATTTAGTGAGATTAAGAAAAGTCAATAATAAGCTTGACTTAAAATCAAAGCCTCAACAACTGAATCTTCTATGAAGCACTCAGCAGAATGTTTTACTTGTCATACTTATCCTTTGTGTCCTGCATTCCGTATTTTTTCCTTTCAATAAATAAAAATTGCAGGTATGGGCAAATGGTACAAATGAGAGAAAAATACAACATCAATTCTAGCATGGGCAACAAGTCAGAAATGTCAGAAAACGGTTAATGGACCAGCTAGTGCACTGAAGAATGCTGTACATGAGCATGACAGGCAGAAAACACGACCAAAACATGACCATCACATTACTGCCACAGGAATTTCCTTCTGTAAAGGTTAGGAATTTCATACGCTTCTCAAAACATTAATTGATTT